TGCTCAATATACTATGAAGATTATTATTTACTGTGCCCCATTCTTTATTGATATGGGTCAATAATATATGCGGCTAAGAATCTCCTGGGTTAACTCAGTATTTGAGATTCTCCTTTTCATTAAAACAAAATCATAAATAAACACAAACACATACACACACAAAACAATGACTGACTAGAACACAACAGAAATATTTTTAAATTACTTTCTAAAGTTAAGTAGTGTCTATGGAGTCTATATTAAACATGCAATATATATCTTTGTAATTGGGGGAAAATGGAGAATATATCAAATATCCAAGTCATTTATTGACCATAGATATAAAAATGGGGGTGGAAACAATAAAAGGAAGGACAACTCTTTCCTCTCTACTCTATCTCCCATCCCTACCATAAGCCACTATTTATGATGGATAATGTGGTATGCCTTGGTTGTTATCTGAATGATAAAATGATTAAAAGTCACTGAATCAGAGTGAAATAAAAGACTCTATCTACTGTATTTAAATAAACTGGAGAGCTAATAAATGTTTACTGAGCAACTACCATATAACAAATTCACAGATAGCTATTATGGGAATATACAGATAAATACAGCAGAACCTTTCCACTTTGAGGAACTAACAACAAAATGTTATAAGAACACGCAAGAAAGTGAACTCAATTCTGGGTGGGGGAAGGAACAGATAGATATAGGGGAAATCTTAGACTCATGGAAAAGGTTTTAAAAAGTATTTAAAATAAGTCTAAAAAGAACAAACAGGATTTTAATTATAGGCAAAAATAATCAACCACCTTCATCTCACCATCCTTCTAGTTAACTATGGAAAATGAAAAGAACTCTCTTTAATATGTGGTTCTAAAATGAAGGACCTTAAAATTACTCACTGTTCAAGAAATAACAAAATGAGTTTAAGAATGGGTAACAATTACCTAATAAAACTGGGGATACCAAGACTATTGTGATTTTGGTTAGAAACATGAACCATACAGCAGAAAACCATTCAGTTACTTAAGAACATCTTAAAATCCATTTAAATCTAATGGTTAAGGCCAAAGGGGGGAAGGGATGAAAAATTAAATTTACTTGTCACATTCTGGACGCAAGTGATAATGGTTATGAACTAGTTGGCTATAGGTCACAACTAACTCTTATGAGGTTATAATGATTTTAAACATATATATATAATATATATATATGTTTAGGTTATATGTTTAGGTTATATAAATGTTTAGGTTATATATATGTTTAGGTTATAATGATTTTAAATATATATATATATATATATATATATATATGTGTTTAGAGACAAAGAGAATGCCAGAAGCCATTTAATTTTTCAGGAAATACCATTTTCCTACATTTAAAACAAATGATCTACTGGCAAAAGTAATCCTTTAGAAAACTGAATTCCATGATAAAGTAGTCACTTCATTATTTAATGAAGGAGAAATAGTCTTTTAGTAACATTAAAGCATCTTATAGATTCTTTTCTTTTATTTTGTTCTTTGCCAAACAGGGCTTTAAAAGATGTTTATCCCAAACTCTGCAAATTACTCAAAATCTTCTTTCAATAAATCTTTTTCAGATTTACTGAACATTCCCGCCCCTATATATTTACTGAATCAATAAACATCCACAAATTACTTTCTGGTAAGACTGTTTTATGCATAACCAAAATGATGACTTTTAATTCTATAACAAAAATGAGAAATTAGAAATCTATTTATAAAGCACCAAGCAATTCTATAACACCTGTTCATTATGTGTACACCACAAACAATAGATTTATTCAATAAAAACTAGTATTCAAATCAAAAAAATGTACAATTTTTATTATGTGTGGTAACTGTTCTATAGTCACCACAAACAATGAGTTAGTGAATACTGAACCACTGCTCCTAGGGAATACACAGGGCTAGGTTCCTGCAAGCCCTGATCACATTTTTATCAACTAATCACTATGTAATCTTGTTTTAGATGTGTTTCTGTTCAAGGACACCTTACTTAATATAGAATTCACTTATTACTTATTAATAATTTTATTTATTTAATAATACAATTCATTAACATTGACCCCAGAGCCAACAGCACTAATTCATGCCTGAACAAAACTGAACACATACGTTACTTTTTTCTCCATTAGGCACATCAGAGCCTTTTCGCATTCAGAACACTAGACAGAGCTTCAGCACTATGGTTAGGGGCTATTTAAAACTGAAATCACCAACAAAAAGCACAAAAATGCAAAAAACAAGGCATTAAATAGAGAACAAAAGAGGACATGTCCTTACAGTATGAGAGCTGAAAACAAGAAAGCAAGAGTCACCTTGTGGGCAAGTTCAAGTCAGAAGACTCAGATTTTTCACCATTCCACGCATGTCCATAAATAATCATGAAACTTTTGTAATGATCTTATAATTACAAATAAATTTGAGATAGCAGACATTCACAAACACAAAATATGCAAATAACAAGAACTGACAGTACAAAGAAAGCCTAATTAAATAAATCTCATGGGAAATATTTTAGTACTTCAACCCAATTTTATAAATACAAGAGTTTACTTAATGGTCATCAAAGATGGGAAAAAAACTTTATAGCATTGTTTTTGAATTATCACACAAAAACACCAGACTGAAGTAAGTTATAAGTTTCCAGATAAAGAATAAAGATGGGAAAATGACTTTAAATTTACTGCCTAGCAATGCAAATGCCTCAGTGGCTCAGACACTTAAGCGTCTGCCTTCAGCTGAGGTCATGACCCCAGAGTCCTGGGATCAAGCCCCGCATCCGGCTCCCTGCTCAGCAAGGGTCTGGTTTTCCCTTTCCCTCTATGTTCTTTCTCTTTCTCAAGTAAATAAAATCTTAAAAAAAAAAATAAAGCAATAAAATATAAAATGTAAATTATGATAGGAAAGTTAAGCTAAAAAGGCATGAAAAGACCATCAGTGTAGACGATTAGAAATTAACACTTAAATATATTCAAGGAAAGTACCTCGGTGAAATAAAAATTGACTTAAAATTCTGTAAATTCTAATTTTTTTAAACTATTATCCAGTATAACTATAATCTGTGTCCAGTTTGCATTTCTACTCTTTATAACAAAATTTAGATACATATTTAAACATCATCTATTCACAGTTGTACCTGAGATTTATATTACAGAAAATGAAAACAGCAAGATACATTAATTAAAACAAGAAGAGAATTTGAGAACAGGGAATGAAATAAAAAAAAAGCCACCAACATCTTTTTTCCTTTTATATTTCAGATGATGTTCACTAGAGCACAGTTTTTGGCAGCAAAAAATAAGAAAAATTTGTCTTTTAATAGAGGACTGATTTAAATCATGGAATAGTATATAGTTTAATATGAAACGAGCTAGAAAATATGTGTGTGTGTGTATACACACACATATATGTATATACATCTCATATACTGTGTGTATGTGTGTATACATGGCCTTCAGTGAAAAAGGTGAAACAAGACAGACAAGGAGAGATGTCTATATTAGGGGGAAAAAAGGCAAGTCACAGAATACGGTATAAAATAAGATTCCTTCTTGAATAGCAAGAAATGTTAACTTGTTTATATATGCACACACATTAAATTACTAATGAGAAAGGGACTTCAACACTTTCATTTTTTATAATGAGCATATGTAAGTTTTATAAGCATAGGTTCTTGACAAGTGTTAAGTTACCTTGTTATATACCTTGTTACAGCTATTTTAAAAATAATATAATGTGATATAAAATTCATGTTGTTTGAAAATGATTCCTATAAACTTAACTTATTCAGGTAAATCCTGTTAAATTAAAAACAAACATTTCCAAAAAAAACAAAAAAAAACAACAAACATTTCCGAATTCAAAGAATTTCAGTATGTTCTCAAAATTTAACACTAACCAATCCCCCAAGCTGAAATGTTTACTGATTTATAACAAGGGATAGAAAACTTTTTCTGTAAAGGTCAGACAGTAAATATTTTAGGCTTTGCAGACAAACATGGTCTCTACTACATATTATTCTTTTTGTTCTTGTCTTAGGGTTTTTTTGCAACCCTTTGGGAATATAAACAGACAGAG